AGGTTCTTTTTTTTTTTTTTTTTTTAAGTGTTTCATTTCAAGGCATATCCTCATGCAAATGCACTTGGTGACAATTTGAGAGAATGCACTGTGTATTAAAGCCATATAAATAACTTTGCTTTGAAATGAACATTTAATGAAATGAGCACTGGAAGATGAAAAAGCCACAGCACCTTTACATTCATAAAGATCATATATTTTAATTTGGTATGATATTTAGTACCTTATTTTACAACCCACTTGAATATATTCTACACAATCCATCTTGATAGGAGAAAGGATTGAAGAATGGAAATATAATTTTAATGATAAAACAGATAAGCTCAAATATGGTTGATGTAAATCTGGCCAAGCTCTCAAAGGAGAAAGACATGAATCAGTCTGCAGGAATTATAAGATGATGTATACATTTTGTCTCCAGCTTTCACTTTTAATGCAATTATAGGCAATTCTAATCCTTAATTACCTATTTTTTTATCATCCTAAAACTGAACAAAATGCACTGATCATTGCTTAAACTCCTTGGGATAATATAATCCATCTAATTAACATCCTGTGTACCTTAAAAAATGACAACTATCTACCAGTATGTTCTACTAATCTCACATTTTCCGTGATATAATTTCAGAAGGAATAATGATTCTTACATAGCATTTGTTCATAATATAACACCATCCCACACTTCAGTGACACTGAAGTTCACGTACTGTCTGCTTTGAAACAAACCATCATTTTCAGTTAGTCCCAAACAGTAAGCTACACAGTTGATGCTACCTGTGAATTGAAGCACAGCTAGCAATTATGGTTTAAATTCATTTATAGGCTTGGAGAGAATTTCTATTGGCTCCAGAGCATTTAGTCTACAGAAAACAAAAAGAGACAACAGTATTTTCAGACTTTTTCAGCAGTTTGAAAATTATTTTCTAAGGAATAGTGGTATCAGAGTGATCTCTCTGAACTGTTGAAAACTGTCCAATGTTTCCCAGTGGGGAACACAATGGGACAGAGAAGACACACTCATATATTAATACCCTGGTCAGTGTCATTTATTATGAATGAAGTATTGGTCCTACAAAATATAAGGAATGTTTTGGGATAGCAAGGTTAGAAAAGATAAGGTAAAAATAAACCTTAAAAATAAGGTCAGGCTAGGCTTAGGTTGGAAGTAAATTTTCCAAATGGAAAACAGCAAATCCACTCTATTAACTAACTTAATGACATCCATTGACTTTATCTCATTGATAATTGTGGAAGTTGTATTTGGAGGAGGGGGAGAGGGAGGGGGAGGCAGCAGCAGCAGCATTTTTATTAAATGATGGGCAAAATAGAGTGCATTGAAGATAACCCATTCTGAAATCTAAGCAAAAGACAGAGGCGCATTTCCATACTTTTATTCAAAATGCTCCTAGATGTTTTAAGGCTTGATCCATGTTTAATCATATAATAAAACCTCTACAAGGACTCAAGGAACAATACCATCTAGTGCCAAACAACAGCACTGCATATCAGACTGCCCATTTTAATCCGAGCAGGTGATAGTGTTTCCCCACCTTTTAGGACACTGGAAATGGTTTACTGCCAAAACAGACCATTCATCCATCTAGTTCAAGAACGGTTTTGGGATGGTTCTATTTACAGAGATCAAAACCCGAGCCTTCTGCCGATAAAGCTCTACCAGTTTCTTAGAAAAATGTGTCCTTCAGGTATTCCAGAAGAAACAATTATATTCATGTACAGGATGTTCTACAAGCCTATAAAAGTTGGATTTTTTGTACACGCATAATTTAAAAATCATGTTTAGAACCCAGCATAAAGCCTAAGGGCATTAAAATATCTTGGCAATTTCAAGAGAATAATGAGGGAAAAGAACTCATTTCAAATGCAGTCAAAATGCTGCAGAGCATAGATGTGATCTGTAACCATTATGTCCTATAGTTGTAACATCAAACTATCATATGCTTGCTAAGTACAATTTTAAAAAGCTGAATTTATCATGGCAGCCATCCTGAAAATGGAATATATCTAATCAAATATTTAAAATGCAGAATTAAACAAGATGAGCCTTTGGATAAGTCTAAAATGTCCTTGGGCTCAGACTTCTGGTACTACTGCGGGCTGAGTGATATGAAAAATATAACTGATAAAATGTCTTATTTTAAAATGATGCCAAAAACCTATCTCATTCTGGTAATACCTTTGCACTTGGAAGTTCAGTAAAATGAAATAGGGTAGAACAGTTCTAAGCTTTTTAAAAAGCAATTTGTTAATACAGAAAAAGTAGACTGATAAAGAAAGAACCCTCTCTTCAAACTTTTAGAATCAGTGAAAAAGATATATGCTACATTCTGAAAAACGCTTCTAATGTAATTATAATTCTTTTTTGGTTTAGGTTTCTTAATGATGGAAAGTAACAGGCACTTCCCATCACAGCTGCTTACACCGCATGTCCTCTATGGGTTCTAGGCAGGCAGAGGGCAAAGAGCTATGACACCTCTACCGTTTTTCTGGTTCTTGAAACAGCTGCGGGAGTAGAACACCAATAATATCAAGCTCACCCTCAGGCTGGGGCTTCCGTACATTATACGCATCCACCATGTGGTAAGCTGTTGCCTGTTACCAAATTTAAAAATAAGTTATTGGTCTTCTGTAACTCATCATAAAATTTAAGTAGTTAGCAATCAATTGGCATGCAGTGCAACTCAAATAAGGAAGCCTCATGAGATCCCAAGCAAAGATTTGAAAATCTGTTTTAGCCACTTGGCTCAACATCTTAAAAGCCACAGAGAACCGTGGGCATCCATGGAGGATGGGGTGAGGCAAGGGATGAAATTTGCATCGCAACATCATGATGCAAACTATTCTCCTTCTAGCCTTGCATATTACAACACGAGTATAAAAGGCCAGCACTTACATCATGACATGATGCACCTTTTGCCATTTTGGTATCATCTTGGCTAGCTGCAGAAGCCTATGCAGAGAACTATGGCTTCTGAAGAGTTAGAGTTGCATTTAGGAGTAAAAACTAGGAAGGCATACAAAGGAATTGCCCAGAAAATGAATTTTAGTGCTAAATTTTCTGGCATAAATTGCACACTCACTTCATAGATCAGTTTACTCCCTCCTTTATATGTCCTCGCAGAGTATTCAAATATTTTTGGCTATTTGAAACTATGGGAATGTTTCCGAATTTAAAGCAAATCATTCAGTGCAGAATAATTGATAAAAGCTACAAATATATTTCCCCCAGTTACCATCTGGATATTCTGAATTAAATATTTGCAATGGATAAAGATGATATGTTGAAAGTCATCCCAACTGTAGAGAGTAAGGAAGATGACCTTCATGGAGTTATGCCAGCTCTGTTGCCAAAGTGCAAAACATATTTTTAGGTCCACAACAGACAGATAATATTCAGAAGAGGCCCAGACAGACACCTCCCTAATTCACTGAACTATAAGGAGCAGGAGGAGGTATAACACAATCAGACTTGCAATCTTTTGATATTATAGCCACTCTCAATAAAAAATAGTGTTAGCCTTCCTGTGGAGTTGATTTCTTGGTCTAGTCTACCTAGTGGAGCTGACACTAACAGGTGGCAGTTAGGCTGACTTTGGCTGATCTCAAAAAACTAAGCAGGGTTGGACCTCATTGGTACTTGGATCAGAGTCCACCAAGAAATTCCACAGCCATAGACTAGATTGGGAAGTTGGGGGAAAAAAACCTCTCATACACAACCTTCCAGAAGGGAATGGCCATCTACATCCATACTGTTGCCAAGAAAACTGCATGGATGTATTCATATAATCCCCAGGAGGTCAAGTTTAATTCTAGAGAGCTATGACCTATCTCATCAAGCTTGGCAAGTGGGGGTATAGGAGGGATCATGCTGAACATAGCAGATTAAACCTTGAAAACAACCATTCCCAGCTGTACATTCAATTCAGTTAGTTTGCACATGCTAATGTACCAGGGATGCAGGAATGAACAGGCAGTTCATTCCTTAAGACCCCACACAGGCAACCAGCTACAAAATGATTTAATGAAGAACAAATCAATATTTCCAACCTGGAAAAAAGTGAAACCAGAACCCAGGTAACTAAAGAAAAAGATAAAAATGGTGAGGAGTCCGTGTTTTCTTCATATTCTTTTCATTTTAAACTATTAAACCTTCCGAAGAATTTTGTTTTGCACATTTGGCTGCTATTTGTTAACCACCTCTCCGGTCTCAGATAAATTTAAGAAAGTGAAGCCAAGATTTTTATTCTATTTTAATATTGCACAATATACCTTTTTTAAAAAAAACAACAACACAGTAATTCTCAATGGGAAGTAGTGTTTATTTAAAAGCTAACATGGCTGGTGTGGGTCTTCCAGGCTGTGTGGCCGTGTTCTTGAAGTTTTGTTTCCTAACGTTTCGCCAGCGAAACCTGCCCCGTTCTGTCCTCCGCCACTCTGAAGATGCCGGCCACGGGTGCTGGCGAAAGGTTAGGAAACAA